TCGAGAAATACACATACATACATTTATGCGATGCATGCATCGTAAACACTATGGCATCGGGGAACCAGTATTTGGATGGTTCGGTAACTCTCTATGCAAATGGTAACTGGAGGTTACCATCCGAACATCTCTGTCCCAACCAGTACGAGTGTAGTGCGGTGTACCGCAGGGTTCGATACTTAGGCATCGCCTGTTTCTACTCTTCATTAACGATCTAACGAGTTATCACCTCAACATTTTACTCTTCGCGGACGACATTAAGGTTTGGCGCGCGGTAAAGAGATTGGGCGACTACGAGACCATCCAGTGCGACTTCGATATGAGGCTTATAACTGGTCAATGAGGAACGCGTTGGAATTCAATGCAGACACGTATCACGTTATTTGCATGCACTATCAATGTGCAACATCTACAGGATTAATATCAGAAATCAGTTGCGGGTGAAGAATTCTTTTCGGTAACTCTCATCGGACCCAAACGTTTACATAACAATGATACTGTGGGGTAAGTGTCAATCTCGGGCTGGGATTTACTTCTGGACTCTTTGAATGATCAAAATCGATAAGTTGAGACATAGATAGCGATGGTAAACCAAGTAAACTAAATACACACACATATGCAAAGCTCAGTAGTCCAAAGTAATCAAGTAGGTAAAATAACAGCCAAATAACTAAGTGACAGTGTCCGTTGGCCAAGGTAGTAGTATGAATCGTCTTTGTATACATAATTCCGGCTTCAGATGGTGAATGTAGATAGCCTCGGAGATGGATAAGAGCTGTTTGTGGAATCCTTGAGTGTAGTGTTCAGGTAGTGAATAAATGACTTTGTAGTCATTCTCTGAAGCTGTGTGGCCACATTCATGGAGGTGCGACATGATTGAGCTGTCTGAAGACCTAATTTCGCCTTTGTAAAACCATGCCGGGATGTGTTCACGAATCCTCTGAGATAGGCGTCTTGTCGCGCGACCCACATATCGTGTACCACAGGAGCACGAGTACTGATAAATGTTCATTGAACGGGTCAACGACGATAGTCTATCCTTCAAGGGTTTCGTAAGCAACGGCTTGTTATGAAAAACGATTCTCAGCCGGGCCGCGAAATAAGTTTTCTCGACAGCGTCTTTCAGGCGTCTGGATAACATATCAGCTGCACAAGCACCCTTAAAGGGTATATGTATGAAAAGCTCTTTCTTAGGAACAATATTCCTAGGTGGCTTTCGATTGCGTTCCTTCAAATGTTTCATGATAAATTTATCAGGATAGCCATTTTCCCTGAGGGCGTCGCTGATTCTCTGTAGTTCTTCGTTGACGGTATCCGGTGTACAAATACTGCGCGCCTGGAAGGCGAGAGATCTGATTAAACTCCGCTTATGCTGTAGTGGTACTGCGCTGTGGAAGTTCGTGTACTGCCCAGTCCATGTGTGCTTTCTGTGTACCTTTCTGCTGCATGATTCGTCCGAGTTACGGATAACCTCTACATCCAAGAAAGGTAACCGGTTTCCTAGTTCGTGTTCACAAGTGAATGGAGATTCTCGTGTGCATCATTGAAAACTTTCAGCAACTGTTCCGCATGCTTTTCGGATTTGCAAAGTACGAAGGTGTCGTCAACATACTGTACGTACAGGATTAGGGTGCGCGATTTGAACACCATCTCCCAGGTACCCTAGCTGCATGTGTTGGTACAGGACGATCTCAGTTGTTCCAGATAGTCGAACTCACTTCATAAAGTGGTAACTAGCCAGTTGTTCTCTGGTGGATGGCATTCGGAAGTTTGGATTCATCAATCTTTTCACCGATGCCCGATGCTTACATGGGTCCCCAGGTCGAATATTATAAATATCCAGGCTTGAAAAGCTTGGCTAAAGCGTGACCATACAACGTTCGAGACACCGCAAGCTTGAGCAACGAAAAATGTCAATGGTTTGCGCCATCTTCCGTAGCAATACTCAGAGTAGTTGGTGGACGACACCGGAGGCTATAGGGAGACCTCATGCTAGTATACTGAATACTGAAAGATCCCAGTCACACGTATGCCGCCACTTTTGAACCTCAGCCAGAGAACCAAATTGAGAAGCAATAGCCTGAAACGTGAATCTGTGGATTTCGTAGATGAACCGCCCAGATGAAGGAATCACAGGGAGTCTCAAGTACACTCTAAATTGCTGGGTGAAGCAGAGAAGAGGAGAGATCGGTGACACAGTCAGCAACACCGCTGTGCTTTGAACGCAGTAAATACACAAAAATGTCACATTGCAAGAGTGGTGGGAGAAATAAATCACTGTAAGCCGGCCACCACATTTTAAGTAGATAAACAGTGGGAACATGAAAGGTAGGACATGGCGTTGAGGCGGGAAAGGTGATTGATTCCAACACTAATTCATGTCTGACGCGGAATGCTGTTTCCAATTTCAGAAGGTTTACAATACAATTCGGTTTTGCATAGATGTATATCGCAGCAGAAGATACCATTTACTAAAATTTACTTCAACATCAGCCGACCACACGAATTCACTCATCAAATTTCAAACGCAAGGCCCATATAGCAATGAAAAAGCTAGAAATGTGCTTAGAACCGACTGGGAATTCATACATTAGGAGAGCGTATAATACAAATAGGTTTGTATGAGCGTTGGAAAGTTAGCCGCGGAATTCGTATGACTGGCTGGCGTTGAAGCGACGAGGCTTCGCAAAATACACAAGCCCATACGAAACCGATTTTTGTTCTAACCCTTCCGAAACTATGAATTCCCAGTTGCTTCAGAGGGATTGGAAATTGGTTGTCTTGAGCAGTGTTGTAAGAAGACGAGTCGACAAAGTTGATGGTGATGAATCGGAGCAGGGAACAGGTAAGAGTATCGATGTTCGTCCGATTAGTAGTGATACAGTAACAAAGTATTGATAAAACACAGTTCATCTGATCGCTGGCTGGGTGAGAGTTGCACAGGGTAGTAAAAATTGGCACCCCTTGCCGGGGTTGTATGTTATATGGCCTGTCCCCATGTTGCGGAAAGGGAAATGCCTTCCTTGTGTAGGTAACTGCGAATAAGTCCCGTTTGCTTTGCAAGCGAGGTGATCAAGCAGTATCGGATAATCAGCGGTAGAGTCAGAGCGTGGGGAGTTCTGCACTGGTCACCTGGCTCTCGTAGGGCGCTGCGTCAAAGCCATTGTGACCGGGTATAAGGTCAATGGCCATTCACTTCTGTAACCAGACTTAAGTACTTAGCAAAGAGCGGATGGACAAGTTTGCAGGCCACCGGCTTCTCTGTGGACAACAACCCAACACAAAGAAGGCGAATGAGCCACCAGGCTGTCGACGGTCTTCGTATTCACGGCTGGTGTAACGTTCTACCAACATGCGCTTATCGCTCCCTTGCCTTGCCGGTCAGGTAGTTAGGACCAAAGGCTCAGGGTAAAGCTCCTGAATCCAACCCTCTTCTTCGGCCTGAGAAACCAGGAAACTAGCTGCGCACACAACACATGAACCATCATAGCCTTCCCGATGATTACCACTTCTCTCCTTTTTCCCTGTTGTTGTTCATGGGTGGCACTCTGTTAATTGTTTACTGGTCAAGTGTGACCAAACAAAGCACTCGGCTACCGAAGCTCCATCCAAAGGGGTCCCATTATCGCATGGTTCACACACAGTACACCCATGGGTGTGGGTAGTATAGTCAAGTGCGTCGTTTGCCAATTAGTAGGTCATCCCGAAATCAATTGACTTATTGGCACTTTTTCAAGTAATAATTATCTTAGGCAACCAGCAATCGTTGGTCAATATAACATCCATTGTTATTGACGATTTGAGGTCGACGTTCAGGTAAGCTGTCGAAGCCTCTCTCTTAGTACGAGCTGGGCTGGCCGTCAAAGAATTGGGCAACGTACGTTTCTATATGGCTGAGTCATCCAATCTCTCCTCCTTGACGTGACTTTGCAGCGAGCGAAAAAGGTGGTAGTCAGTAGGCTATGTATGGATGCAAGAGAATTTCGATACCGAGATACTGACTGTGGACGTGTATTGTCATGCAGTATTGTCATGTGTTGCTTTTAGACGCTTTTTTCTGTGTTGGCAGTAGACATCGGCAGTAACCGTGGAACTGTCAGGTAACAGTTCCCAATAAATAACGCCGCGCAGATCCTAAGGGGCATCCCTTGTTGCCGTGCAGTCCGGCGCTAGAAACTTGTGCTGGCGTTTCATCTGTTGCGATCTATTAACGTTTCACTTTTCGTCTGTAGTAACGATATCGTTAAACCATTGGTGACCACGTTCTCGATTAGGCAAAGAAAGCGCGATGGTACAATTGTGTAACAACTGCTCATCAGTCGATTCGTGTGGTACAATTTGTCCGAGATTTATGACGACTCCGTGTTGGTGCAGATGGCGAGGAACGGTGATTTTTGGAGAACAAATGTATGGGGAAACTTCACGTACACTTTGTGCTGCTGACAAAGTCTGCTGGCTTGCGTCCTTGATTTCCGAGGTTTGACCATTCGTACTTCCCTACTCTTAACCAACGTAAGTAAAATTTTACCATACCGTAAATTGGAACATCCGTGTCTAGTAGGCCACGCAAATTGCGACAAACCTCGACCAACTGGTGCTCTTGTAGGAACTCGTACAACAAGCATCAGCAAACAGCAAGAGTACGTTAGTGAAAACCGAGTCCATATCAATCGAATACATGGGCTCTGTACGTAGCGACATGTGGTCCAGTGTCTCGATTAATTCGAGGAAGTAGTTTAAACAGTTTTTCCAAGGAACGAGCAACCTTATGATATGGAGTCGCTCATGCACAAAATCGGTCATTAGGAACTTCGATTTTGTGTATTTTCGTTCCCCTAGTACATACGTTACTTTGTCCACAAATTGTATATATATCGTATGCGACTGAAGAGAGCAATCAAAATATCCGCGCAGACCAAGTGAAGGGGCAAGCATCCAGGTTAGGTTCGAGTTATCGTGGGATTGCGGGTGAAGATGAAGAAGCAATGAGGCCCACTTACTTTTAGGTCAAAACACATGAGCCACACCACTTTGCAACGGTTGGGCTGTTGGGCAACTGGTTCCAAAATGACCGCGTTGATGGGCTGATGAGCGCTTTCGAAGGGAAAGTGAGAATGAGAAAAACAAATGAATCTCATCAACTCACAAAAAGAAGTGAAGCGGATAAAATGAGTGTGACATAATACGCCATCTGGTAACTCACCGAACACAATATTTCATGGGGGGACACTTTGGATGTTCCACAGAGGTGAGGCCAACAGAGTAGCAACCGTCATGTTCACGCCAGTGGCGTAACAGTACAAAATCTCTGAAAACAGAATTTGAACAGCGAAGTAGAAACTGTACATCTCACGTTAATGAGGCGGAATTGAGAACGAAAGTGGGTGTGAATGCAATGATAGCGAAAGAGAGAACATAAAAGAGATGAAGCCTGCAGAGTACACCTCAAGAGACGGTGTGAATGGGTATACAGTCCAAAACATAAAGCAAGGCTATCAACGTGTAACCAGCCATGGTTAAAGACACACGGAAGGCTCAGAACTGGAACAGAAGTCATAGGGATCCATGCACCAAAGAATTGGTCTATAACCCTTAGAGAATGCCACCAGTTCAGAAAGCGTAGTACTTGCAGGGGATATGAACGTGAAAGTCACCTAAGATCTTCAGAAGCTCAGCTAGGTGGTCAGTATGGGTTTAACTCCGAACGGATGGAGAATGGCGAGCGTCTGTTGCAACTGTGTGCGGAGCACCTGACGTTTCACAGTAGCACCGCTTTTAGACAAGGTGGGCGCCGAGGTACCACTCGGCATTAGGTTGTAGCTGGCTCGTGACGGACCCAGATAGATCACACTGCCGTAAGTTAGAGGTAAAGTGGTTCCATTCTTGAGTGTCGCTCGTTCTGGAGTATTCGCGTTGTCGCTGATCACGCCTTAGTACGCTGTCGTTATTCCATGAAGTTTACCGAGAGGTGAAAGAAGCGTCTCCTGCAACTAGCAACTGAGCAATTATCGCAGCCCTCTGTTAGGTAAACTTATCAGGATGCATTGCATAACGAAATTCCGATCTCTTGTCCTAATGACACTGAGCTTCAGGGGGAATAGGATCGCGCAAGCAGGAGCAGCTGTTTGTGGGACTCTACATTGTCACTGTGCCAGTCACTGGAATATAGAAGAAAATTCCAAGCTAGCTCTAAGCATAATGTGACCAGATGGACTATTAGGCGCGAACTAAAGTGGAGTCCGCGCTGAGAAGGAAGCCTGGTGGACCATTTGGGCTCAAGAACTGAAGGCAGGAGCAGTAGGCAATTACCGCAAGCTCTGCCAGCTGATCCGCACCACTGGTCCAAGGAAACCAGGCGTCAGTGAGACCATCAGAGACAACGCGGGTGAACTGATTCATAATGAGGAGCAGCGACTGGCTCGTTGGACGAAGCACTTTCAAGATCACTTCAGTTGGCCAACTGTTCTCGTATCTCGTCCTACGCAGGTGAGCAGGACGAGCCGAAACCGGTTAGTTTAGAGGCTCACTCAGAGGCTGAGGTACGAAACGCGATCGCAGCCCTCAATCGTCTTCGTGCTACTGGCTCGGATTCCCTCCCACCTGCAATATTTAAGGATGAAGGTAAGGTCCACTGCAAAGCACTGACTACCCTGTTCGAACACGTCTGGAAGGAAGAGAACATTCCGGCTAACTGGAGTGAATCGATTATAGTGGCAATATACAAGAAGGGAAGTCGCACCGACTGTATAGGGTGTTTGCCTAACGTCAGTTGTGAAAAAATTACTGGCCACTGTCCTGGTTCGCTGCATCACTGAGGAACAGGAATCCCGTATTAGGGAAGTGGAAGCAAGCTTCCGTAAAAGACGTCGTCGTGTAGGCCTAATATTCAATTTGCGGCAGAGGATCAAACAGCGCCACACGTACCGTAGACTGACCATAGCAGTGATCTACGATATCAAAAGTGCGTTCGACTCACTCGATCTACGCATTTTGTTCGAAATACTTGAGCGGACAGATGTTGCCATGAAATATGGGGACATTTTACGTGCGCTGTGCTCGAACAACACAGGCCGCGTCAGCGTGTAGGGTGATTTGTCTGATGCCTTTATGACAAACAATGGCGTTCGTTAGGGTTGTGCAATTCCCCCAGTTTTGTTAAACCTCGTCATGAACACCATCATGGAGTGTCACCTTGCGGAATCTCATGAGGTGTTGCCTGGTGAAAGGCTAATTGATGTTGATAATGTGGACGAGATTTCCTTGCTGTTTAACGATGCTGGGTTGGCGTGATCAACTTTGAATAACCTTAGAGTGGTCCCATCACTTGGCATGCGCTCCGCGCCTATAAAATGCAGTGTTGTTGCAGGACCACCAACCACTTGATGACATGTTGAATCTTAATGCCCAAGAACTCGAGGTAGTTGATCACCTCACCTATCTTGGCAGCTGCATCGGTAACGATGGGTGCATAGTAACGGAAGTCAGTTGGAGTATAGCAAAGGGCAAAACGGCCTTCTTACATCTGCGGCATTTGTGACGTAATAAAGGGGAGTCGCTTCGAACAATAGGCTGTGTATACAAGGCCACAGTGAGGGCCATCCTACTCTATGGGTGGGAAAGTTGGCCTCTCGGGTCTGAAGATCTGAGGGGGTCTTCAAGTCTTTGAACATCGCTGTGTCGGATAGCATCAGCATATCGGGAATGATAATGTGCGTGGGCGAGTACTAAGCGGTGATACTCAAGCTAATTCCTTAGAACAACAGATAGGACTGAATAAGCTGCGTTGGCTTAGGCACGTACTCTGTTTGGCTGGCCACCGGTTACCTAATAGGGCCTTGCTTTGTCTGCCAGATGTAGGGTGGCGCAAGGCTCGAGGTGGACAAAAGTTGGCTTGGCAGCGAGAAATGAAGTCACTGATGAAGAAACCTGGTGCAGTCGGTCCGTCGCTACTTCCAGACTGGAGTCCATGTGACTCGCCTTGTACTTGGCTTGATACTTTACAGGATAGCGCGTCTGTTACTGTCCTCTAGTCAGACGGGCAGTTTAAAGTGTTTTGTGCTGTTATCTACAGGCTAATAATAATAAAATCGCCAGCTGTACGCCGTAACGACGCTTCGCTGCCTCGCGACCATCACCAGTCGCGCGCGAGTTGAGTATACCACGAGAACACCCACCCCTACGCGGATTATCGGCAGGGTAATGGTTGATTCAGATGCGGAGCATTGAAAGCCGTTGATGCCGCCTTATCTTTGCACGATAGCCAGCTGTCTGTGACGGTGTGTTGTTAACACAAGGTGTAGGCGTCTTGACCTTGAATCTTTGCTTAGGGCATTAAGGTTTTCCGGTAAGTCTCCCTTTTATCCCTGCTATTGTTCTTCAATTCGTAGGTCATTGTGATTATCTGACAGCGAAGCATCAGTTCAAATGGCTGAGGAATTGCTGCTGCTGATGATGACGATGAATCCCATCAGAGAGGAGAACGGGAGACTTTTGGATGTGCGACAATACGGCATGAATAGAGCCCACAATTCGTATAGGTTCTTCTATGAGGTGTACCGAACCAGGAAAACGCTTGAACATTCGCCTGTGACAATATAATCCTTCTCAAAAGAACCCAATCGAACAAGACTTTTTGAGTCTATGGAATGCGATAAACTGGAGATTAACCCTGCTGTAGTACTCTGAGAGTAGAACCGAGCTCTGGACATCGGGCACATAAGTGTTATTAAGGAATATTGTGACCTTTTGTAATGTATATGTGCTCGAATCTCTGGCACCTCTTTTACCTTCATCACGTCCACACTTACTATACGCTTGGGATAACTCATTTCTTCTTCTTCTTCTTCTTCAGAGAGTGGTGAGAGGAAGGAGTTAGATCAAGATCAACGGAGGTTAACTACAGCTGCTCCGCAAACAATGCGCACTCCATCTGACCGATGTGGGACTGGTGCCTGCAACCTCTTTTTCCCAAGCAGACCCCTGGGACATGGTGAATGGCGGCAGCCACCATGATTAAATTGTAAATTGTAATATATCGTTACACTCATCCTACACGAGCAAGGCGCGTTTTCAACGTGAATAGAAAGCGGTCGATTTAGAATAACATCGGACGATACCGAAAAGCAAGCACCGTAGCGCACAAGTACATCTATTCAATACCGATAGGAAAATAAATTCTGGCAATGACGTTGATACATTGGAGGCAAGTCCTGTAGTGAAGTCCATTACGGTACCCTAAACAAAAGGCTTTGAGGAAAGCAAAGTATAAAAGTCGGAACTGTAAAGCCCGCGTGACGACAAGACTAGAGTATGATAAAATCGGATTGTTTCCTTATTAGCCAACGAATTCTAGGCATAGATGCACTCAACGGAGTTAGTTTTCCATCCTCGAACTGCAAAGTCCTTCACCAAGATTGTCAGGAAACCACTTTTGTGTTGATCCTTGGTAGTGATCAGCTAGAAGTCGTTCAGGAATTCAAGTACCTGGGCAGCTATATCAGCGCCCGTGGGATCGAAGATGAGATTACCAACTGTATAGCAAAAGCTCGAGGTGCTCTTGCTTATCTCCGCCACCTGAAACGTCTGCGTGACATCGCTCTCGCTCTGATGGACAGAGTTGATGATCCAGTCTTGTACGGTTGCAAAAGCTACCCCATTAGAACATAAAGAAGCTAGTTACATTCGACCATCGGCGCCTTCGCAGCTTAGCTCATGTTTGATAGGAACATCGCGTGAGCAATGAGCGTGTTCGGCGTCACGTATTTGGTGCAAGAAGAGCGAGTGAACCGCTCAGCACAGTTATATCACACATAAGGTTCTGATGGCTAGGCCACACGTTGCGCGTGCCAGCACACCGACTTCTGCATCATGCGCTGTTGGCCCGACCGGGCTGTGGATGGGAGAGGAGAGGCCACCCGATGAATTAGTCAAGAGGAATGAGGTCCCTAACTTTGAAGTTAGCGTCGGTTGCTGTCCCGACTGCTGGGCTGGGTTATTAAGGAGGATGAACACCAGTTGACATGGCGTAGAGCTGACCACAATGACGTTCGCTTTATAGGTTTCCTTGGTCCACTCCTTTCCGCTTATCCCCCAAGTACAACCACGTTCTCACACGTGCGACTTAATATGACACTAAGCAACATATTGCTTTCTGTTTTCAAATATATTGTGCGTTGCAATGTTTTGTGCCACACTTTTTAATATATCCTATAGTTTTGTATTGCGGCATATCGGTTAAAGTGTGTTTCCCACCTTCAGATAACGTGTATTGGTAACGTAGGTAACATGGTTGGCGGCATCCGGTTTCGGATTTGCCTGTCACTGTGGCAAGCCACAGGACGCCTGCGCCTACAGAAGGACCATGGATGGCTTGCGCTGCACCACCCACAGCTCCAACCACATACCCCATATCCAGTGTAAACCCGAAGGAATAAGACCGGGAGGCATGCGGATGGGAACCACGTTTCATCAACGGAGCCGGCCCACACTCATTCACAGGCAAACACAAGCACGCTGTATTTGGGGAATCAAGCGCACACAAGGCGGTGGCTGGACCGTAGTCCGCTCCACACTGAGTGCATGGAACCGCTCTTTGAGCCTAGCACGGCCACAAGAACCGTGCACCCCGTCCCCTTCAGCAACGACCAACTGTCTCCTGGAGCCAGTATGAACGATGTAGTGGGTAACAGACAGGTAGGCACCTTGTCAACATACACATCAAGCGCAACCATACCAGAGATATCAAACTACAGCCATTCAATTTAAACAACAAGCTGAAATAAAATAAATCCAATAATGCATACAGATACGGTGGCATAACTCTTCCCTAAATTACCATATGAAGTAAGTTGGTTAGCAACAAATCCGCGATAAGTAAGAAATGTCCGCAAGTTACTTAAAAATGCTACAAACGCAACAAAATTACGGAAGATAAGCGCAATTAGCCTAAGCTACGTGGCCATTTAGTAGGACATTATTCAGATAGGCAGAACAAACCAAATAAAGCGGAATGAAATTTAGGCAGCTTAAAAAGACCTAGTTTAAGTGTAAGTTGGTTTAGCCCAACTGCGGTGAAGAAGCATCAAGAATGCAACATCAGCCTCAGCATGGGGCACAAATACATACACAAATACATACGTAGGTAACAACGGGGCTTATAATAAACAAAAAATCCTATATTGGATACGCGAATGTAAAGAGAAAGTAAGTAAACAGCAAATTAGACAATCGATTTTGTTGCCAACTTATGGAATCCGAGTAACAATAGCAGAATTTGTAACAGAGGTCGCGGAATACAGCAAACGACGCACTTTACTGATCCAGGGCTGTTGCGCAGCTGGAATCAACGCCTAACAACAGGAAGAGGAAGGATCTATCGCCGATCCCGGTATGTTTGCGGCACAGGAAAACCAAAAAGTCCGAATTGGCTGACTCATCATCATCATTAGACACGATAGCTAGAGGTGGAAAACAACGCAGCTATTGTGCTGCAATATAAAAGAAAAGACTTGCAAGAGGCAGTACCAGATGGACATCGTTCTGGAGAGCAAACAGCGGAAGATTGGCTGACTGCTAAAAGATCAAGGACAATATCTGTGATTTTCGAGATCCAGTTCGACACATTCACCCGATCACGTGGAAAATCGAGCTGGTAGGCAAACAACACCAATAAGATGCTAGGGCTTGAGGTGGGAGGTAGGTTTATAATACAGAAAGCCACATCGGCTCCATATTGAATGGGGGCGTGTTGCACAAAGCGATCCTGTTCCGTTATCAATCGAGGAACGCACATTAAGGCAGCCCGTACGAACCTTCGGTGATTCCACGAGAATTGGATGCTCCCCAGATATCCCCGGCGCGCAAACAAAGAATGTCGTGGGAGTCGGTGGGTTTGGATGCACACAACACGGCTAAGCCATCAGGGCCTGGTGCGTGAAATAACAGTGCTGAACGGTTCACTTCGTGTTCTGGTGACATAAACGAGGCGCCGAATACGCTCACCGCGCACACGGTGTTCCCACCAGATATGAGCCAAACTTCGAGGTTTGAACATAAATTTGGAGGAGGCGAGTGCGTCGAGTGCTCGTCATCAGTTGGGCAAAGCGTCAAACATGACAAAAGCGAGAGGAGCGACCAGAAAGCGGAGTTTAATGGGTGGAGAAATCTAAAGTAAGCGCATTGTAGAGCATGAGCAATACAAATGCAGAACACGCGAGTTCAGGCAGCAAGGATCATTAAATCTGGAGCTTCATAGTTGTGAAGTGAGCTTACATGGAAGAAGGTGAGGCGTTAAATGGCGTTAAATGGTGCCATCTGCAGACCATTATCTGATATAAAGGTTTCGATGCCATGGAACTGCAAGAAATCGCACACGCAATAGTATACTTCCCAGGTACCCGAACCCGTGTCAGTGCGGAAACTCGAACTAAGGACACGAGAGTTGAAAGCCAGACGGCTGACCATTTATGTCAAAGATCCCAAGTACATTAGAGCTTCAAAGCCGAGAAAAAGAATTTCAACAATCACATAACTAAAATTACGAACAGGTGAGGCGGACATGGGACCAAGTGGGAGTAAAAAACCTAATGCATCGGGGAGCAGTTCGCACACATGCAGTTGCACATACAGCATACAGCACGCCTTACCTCTTGGATATGGCGCCATTCATGAGATCATGGACAATATTGTGGACTATGTCGATGTTTTCAGATGGGAGAGATTGTAGGCACTAAAAAGGTGGAAAGAGGTGAGGAAAACAACCGTTGGTGCAAAATACGTAGGAATTGTTCCTAAAAGGGAATATGCAATACGGGACTCAAGGAAACACAACTGAATAGAGGGAATGCCAAGGCGGTTTGAGGTTTTGTACCAGGTACAAACACAAAGCACGTTGAAAAACAGAGTAGTACTATCAAAATACAACGAGATAAACAAGGATTGAGAGAGACAGGGGGACATATAAGGCTACGCTTCAAATACGACACATATTATCCAGAGGTTTGCAACAATCTAACATACTGAGAAATATAAATATGGGTATATATATATATGCTTATATATAGAATTGAAAGTAACAGCAAACATGTAACCCTGTGACCTTATAGATTCAGGGTTAGAAGCGGTGGACGACACAAAAAAGCTCAGTATTCGGAAGAAGACACCTGTGCCACGATGTCAAAAATCCAGTGCGAACGATAGCACAGCTTCTAGTAACAAATTGCATGAAAAATCAAGACGTGCGCGAAAAAAACAGTTACAAAACAAGCAGATAAATAAAAAGACGCAGGGGTAGAGAAACCATCCTCATCATCATCATTATACATATTAGCTAGAGGTGGAAAACACCTCAGCTACTGTGCCGCAACACAGAGAAGAAAAGAAAAAAGAATGCAACTGGTGCAAGCCGGCTGAGCTATCGGTAACGGATGGGCATGGCTCCGGTAGGCTACCGGCCGGCTACTGTGCATAAAAAATTACTATACAAAATTCTATAAGGCTAAGTAGTGAGATCGTGTTTGGAGGGGGAGGCTAAGAGAGGTCGGGTGGGACAAAGAAACTTACAGCACGAACGCCACTGAGGTCGGCTCCTAGCAATATCGGCAAGTGTATCCAGCCAAAGGTGTTCATCGTCTTTCGAAACCCAACCAGGAAGTCGAGACGCTCCAACCGAGCCCAGCTCAGAAGTGAGGGCCTTCATTCCTCTAGACCAAGTCATCGCTTGGCCACCCCTCCTCTTCTTCCATCCACACCCCCGGCAAACAAACAACACACGTCGCGGGAGACAGTGGGCTGACATGCGCAACATTTGGCACAGCCATCGGAGCTCAGTGCGTGAAATAACAGTGCTGAGCGGTTCAGTTCCATTTCCTGTGCCGTAAACAATGCGTCGAACACGCTCATTGATCACGCTGTGTTCCCACCAGATGTGAGCTAAATTGCGAAGGCACCGGCGGTCGAACGTAACTAGCCTCTTCAGGTCCGCTGCTTTAAGCGGCCAGGTTTCACAAACGTACAATAGGGTCGAGCGTACTGCTGCATTGTACACTCTACCCTTCAGGGCAAGAGTGATGTCGCGCCGGCGCCATACGTGGCGAAGGTTAGCAAAATCGCCCCGAGCTTTTGCTATACGGTTCGTGATCTCATCTTCAATCCCACGGGCGCTGATACAACTTTCCAGGTAGTTGAATTTTTGAACGACTTCTAGCTGATCCCTACCAACGGTCAGCGTAGGAGGTGGTCCAGACCAATCTTAGAGGAACGCTTTGCACTTCGAGGGTGCGAAGCAAAGTTCGAAGTGACGGACAGCTAGTGTTTATCTGTCCAGTGCCGCTTGGCACGTTTGTGAGCTGTCACAGATTAGGGCAATATCATCAGCATACTCTAAGTCAAGAAGTCGTTCTCCTGTGAGCAGAAAGAAACCAGTATAGATGGAAAACGAAAAAGCAGGACCATCGAAGTGAGATTACCACGGTGCTACCCCGAGTTTTGAGAGAAACTAGGAACGACCAGTCGCTAAAGACAGCTATGCGAACAACCAGTTCCTAACATGAAAGAAGCGAAACCGAGACCTGGAAAAGCTAGCTTCGATGGACGCTCGAAAGATGATGTTGCTCTTGTCCTACAATCAAAGCAAGCAAGGACGAAGTATTTGGGGTAAATTGTCAAGCAATGGAGTCGTCACTAACCAACAGTACGACCTGCAGTGAAAACATGGCGTTGGACGAAATGTAGAATATTAAGTCTGAAAAACTTGCTAGAGAGAGATGACGTCTATCCCCTGGCTAAGCGACGGCGCCGATTGCAAACCAGTTTAAGTTCTAAAACAGCGTGACAATCTGCCAAGATTATCACCATCCACATTTGGAAACACTTTGCAGAAGTGTATCCAATCAGATACAGTTAATGGAAACAGTGAGAATGAGGATCAAAAGCGCTGACTCTTGGTGGGGATCAGTTAGAAGTCGTTCAAAAGTCCAACTACCGAGGTAGTTGCGTCAGCGCCGTTGGAATTGAAGAAGAAGTCACAAACCGCATAGCAAAAGTTCGAGGCGCTTTTGCTAACCTTTGCCACCTATGGCGCCGGCGCGACATCACTCTTGCCCTGAAGGGTAGGGTGTACAATGTAGCCGTAGGTTCGACCCTACGGTACGGCTGTGAAACCTGGTCCCTTAGATCAGCCGACATAAAGAGGTTAGTTACGTTCGACCACCGGTGTCTTCGCAATTTAACTCACATCTGGTGGGAACACCGCGTGAGCAACGAGCGTGTTCGACGCCTGGCTTATAGCGCAGGAAGAAGAAGCCAATCACAGCTCCGTTATTTCACGCACCAGGCTCCGATGGCTGGGCCACGTGTTGCGCATGCCAGCCCACCGACTACCGTGACGTGCGTTGTTTGCGCGCTGGAGGTGCGGAGGGAAGAGAAGAGGTGGCCCAGTGATGGCTTGGTCAAGAGAAATGAAGGCCATTAGTTCGAAGTTTGTCCCGGTTGGGGCCTCTCGGAACTCGGATTGGGGACCGAAGGACGATGAAGAGATTTGGCTAGATGCACTTGTTGACATGGCTAAGAGACGACCTCAATAGCGCTTGTGTGGCGTTTCTTTGCCCATCTCCCCCTCGCTTAGCCTCCCCTCCAACCATGATCTCATTTCCTAGGCATAATATGACTTCGTTGCGGCACTATAACCGGCCGTTAGCGGCCGTTACTGGCGACTCAGCTGTGGTACATTCGTTTCATGCTTTTTTCTTTTCTTTTGTATTGCGTTTGTATTGTTTTCCACCTGCAGCTAACGTGTATAATGATGTTGGGTTGAAGAGACATTGCTAAACTGACCATATTAGGATAACGGGTTTCCAAGTTGGCATATAGAAAATTGGCTGTTTCAGGTGCAGTCGCCCTCAAGAAGTAAAATAAGGTCTTTCAACAGTGATCGGAGAAATTTTTAGGAACTAAGGGGATGGAAGGCCAGCTGATCGGTTAAGCATGAAAAGGTGAAAGACAGATTCGGAGAGTAGCGGAGACAAGCGGCTATTTGGTTATGGGGTATGGAGGTCTCCATAGAACCCAAGAAGCAGCTATGTCTGAGCCTCAAGTACTAGTAGGTGGAAGTTACGGATGAGAGTAGATGGACATATTTGCCCATACAAGTTGATATCAGTCTAAGTAACGTGTATTATGAACATATTTCCTTCCTTGCCAAGTACGCTCATACAAACACTATGTTCTCGAATAAGGTGATTAAAATAGGCTGATAGAAGGCATACTTCTGTTCTGTCACATCAGAATGATCGTAAAATTGTTGTTTATAATATACCGTCCGTTCATAGGGATACATCTGATGGCGTAATGTTGTTCCGCGAAAGGTCGGACAGCGGCGATGGTCAATGGGGATGAAAGCGTTCTAACAAGGCGGATCACGAGTGAGGAGAGCCAAATCAAACAAAGACGCAGGGGAATGAAGCTTACCTCGACACTTGCAACCATGGGATTCCAGGAAGCAGTATCCCTAACATTGTACACAAAATCATCGTAGACGATATGCGCGGGGGCGTCAAGAAGTGTCTGAAAATAGAATGGAACAATGTTCAGCAATAAGGCAATGGTATTCAAAAAAATGGAAGGTTCGTGAGCCGGCAAAATGTCAAGCTTAGAAAGCGAGTCAGCGCAACCTATTGAATGTTAACAGAACAACAAATAGAAACTCGTTCCGCAAGAGGAATCGAGCAGGAAAACAGTCACTGAAAAGTGCATAGAATAGTAAAGCATGGATTTCTGAGTGGTAGGTGCAGGATACTAGTGGATGGGCAGTGGATGAACACAGTAAAAAGGCATCAAACGTGTCCAGCAAACAGTATACAGAAAGTCCAGGATCAACATGCAACGGCTGATTACATAAGCTGCCGGTACGTAGAAAAATATGCTACTGTGGTGATTACCACAGGATTTTCATAAAAAGCCCAAAACAGAAGGCAAAAATGACCTCCTTTTAATGGCCGGTGCTTGTGAGCTACAAATTCACAGAGAGAACGAAGTGGAAACAGCAAGGTAAAAAGTGCGGGTTAGGCGGAGTAAGTTACCCGGTTGACAAAGACACAGTGAGTTGGTCCCCTGACCGTCAAGAACAAGAGGCATAGTAAATTTGAGAATGGGGAACTTTCTTCATTCACACAAGAATAGCAACAACAAGAATAATGTGTTCCGAGGCGCGTGTGTTGCGATGGTATCGACGGGACAGCCACCGTCTCCAACATCATAATTACTCTTCGCTAAGTGTTAGAGCAAAGACTCTTATACAGAAAACCGACTATGGTGGCTTTTATTGACCTTAATTCGCTTACGACTATCATGAATTCCTCAAGATAAGTGGGGTTTACCATTGGGCCGGCTCTTCGCCATATCAGCAAGTGTGTCTAACCAAACGTGTTAATCGTCTCCAGAACCCCAGCGAGGCAGACGGGATGCAGCAACAGCTTCAAAGTCGCCGTTGCTATGCCACCACTAATGGGTAGACTGACGCGCAGCGCTGCAGGCTTCGACATTTGCTTTGTACCTTCAAAGTGCAAAGTACTGCCGTAAGAGTGGAGCGACACAGCTCCGGTTCTAGCTATCACCGAACAGACACTGGAAATGGTGGGTCGGTTCACTTACCCTGGTAGCTGTCACGTCTTGTGACCACATCACTGAGGAAAATACTTCGCGCATCAGGAAAGCCCACGTGGCTTTCCAGAGACTAAAGCATCTATGAATACGGCAGGATATCAGCCTGTCAGTGGGGGGAAAATGTATAACGCTGCGATAAGGCGTGTGTTACTGTGTGGATCAGAGACCTGGCCAGTCCGCGACGAAGGTATTAAACGCATGGCCGTGTCTGAGCATCAGTGCTTGCAGAGTATTGCTCACGTCTGGTGGGAACACAGGGCGAGCAATCCTGAGGTTCGCCAGTTGGTTTTTGGCAAGAAGCCTTCCGGTGTCTCTCTCGATTGTTTGCTAAATCTTAGTCGCGTGCGTTCGCTAGTCTGTTGATCGGCTTCCTCGGCGTGCATTACATGGCGTGGTTGCGCCAAGTTGGATGAAACTGCGAGGTGGCCAGTCTATTACATGACATAGAAGCTTGAAGAAATTGACCGAGGGACTTGGTCGGGTAGGTGCATCCTGTTTTCCTGGGTGGATACCTCGGGACGGCCCGCACCAATGGTTGGAGACCGTGTCAGACATGGCGCAGTCATGCAATCAGTGGCGTACTTGCATTCAGTTTCTTGCATCTAATCGTTAATTTTCGTTCCATTCCGAATGGTTTAACGCACTTCTCGCTTGCTTCCATTTTCATTATATCATATATGTCCTTAACACCACTATCTTTCCGTTGTTGTTTATCGTTATTCTTATGATGTGACAATGTGGCAACCGGATCCACCACACAGTTCGGTTTTCAGATCATAGCTGTTCAACTGACCTGACCAGTGCCATGGGCACGATCGCCAGGCTCAGATGGACCAATGTCACCAGTCAGTACCAACGCAAGGGAACAAAACTAACGGAAGCAGATGTTCCACCCACAACCGCTCAAAGCCTGTAAGCTAAAGTGACTGAACCATGCAGTCATCAAATCATGGTTGGCTTCAAAACCCAGTTACTGTAGTAAGGTAGTCCCCGTCGTTTGGCTTAGCTGTGAATACATTCACAGTGCAAATAAGTCATACAAAATGGATGATCTACGCACAACATAAGTCAATGTCGAGATTGGAGATTAAAAAAAACTACAGGCTAGCATGAATGCCTAGAGGACAGGAAGGAAATGTTTGTCGGAAAAAGAAAGCATAGAAAAGGAAAAGTGAGTAGAAAAATGCACAGTAAAAGCTGCCAAACTGAAAATGGAACACCAAAAACAAAGCAGAGAAACACAGGATGCAGAAGTTGGGCGCCCAGTTACGACCAGTGAAAGCACAGTGCAAAATCGGCTAGAACGCACCTCTAGTCGAAAGACTTTGGGATCGTAACCGGGTAAATTGGCGCTTCGCACTGAGTTCGCTTCCGGGTCTACAGGATCGGAGCCCCATGCCTCCAACCGATACAAGTACCATACCTCCGAGTGCAACTGGTTAGCTCGGCTGAGCATAGCGGCAATCTGACATGGGTCAAGCAAAAAAGGGAGTTCCATGGAAGTAATGAAACACACAAGACGACACGAAATAAGGTATTTTCTAGAAGCGCTTGATACGCGTGGTAAGCAACAAACAGATCGTACAATCAGGTGGATGAGGTGAGAACATCGCTTGCGTCTGCCAGGCTGCGGTACAACATAACAACAAATTCCAACAATATTCGATTCAAGAGCATGAAGATGGTGAGAGCAGAAGCGATAGTGATGTGAAGTGTGCAAACCTTGGGACCATCAAAGGGAAGCGAGACAAAGAAGTAACCATTAAACAGGAAGAGCACAAACGAATCAACAGCAAATGGGGACTCCGAAGAAGATAAAAGTGAGAAGCGGTACAAGTGATGTGTGACCCAGAACGTTTTCCAAGAGGTGGATATGCTAAGTTGAAAGCAATCAAACAAAACTAGAAAGCACGTTTCGCCAAGAGAAAGAAAGGAACAAACGACAGCGAGGAACTGTGTCAGCAGCGAGGGCGATTCTCGTGAAAAAATACAGTAGAAAAAGAGCAAACCAGCAAATTCAAGGAAAGAGGGCTCTCAGTGATCTGCGCAACTGCAAGAGGCTGGATGATGATGCAGTGGGGGGGGGGGAAGCTGTGCCACATGTACAACATTAAGCAACCGTTTCCTAGTGTCCACTGCAAGAATGGTGAGGACATCAGCAGTGCGCTGGTACGCAGCATCGACGCTTTGCTGTCGCGCAACTACCACCAGACGCATGTGGGCTGAGGATACTGAGAAGGTCGCCCGGTCCCCTATGCAGGCTCGAACCCACGGCCTCGGATTACAAAGTAGGCTAACGCGAAACTGGTCAACAACAAGGGACGGAGTAAGCCTAATCTAACGGTCCTCAGCTACGAATGTGGATGGAGTCAATTGTTCTCCCGACTAGAAGCAAGCATGCGTATGTTGTTGCTTAGGCGCCATCAGAGGTTCTGTCTACTGCTCGTGAAGCACGCAGGAGTCCGTAGTCTACAACTGTAAAGCAACTGAAAAAATACGCTTATCAACTGACTGAATCAAAGTGCATGGCCGGATTGTGGGTGGACGCTTGGCCAAATACACTTTCCTCCCTACACAGATCCGTGCTGAATGTTTCCCTTTTGTCTGTTGTGTGCACGTCATTCAGGTTACGGGGGGCGAATCGCAGATGACAGGAAGGCTCTTGCTATGGGGACCCGTTCGATTGGCATAGTGAAAGAGCGTCACGAGTCGCCTCGGAGATGGGAAGGTTGCATGCACTAACGACCACCAAGTTGTTGGTGCTGGTTTTAATTAAAACAGTCCGACCAATGAAAAGTTAACCCGCTGAAATGTACTTGCGTTTGATTTTGGTTGCATCTCTGTCAAGCAGTAACATTAAAATGTGCAAAGGAACTAAGAAAAAATGGCGAAGACGGTGTGCGCTCAGCTTCGAGAATACAGCGGCGGTATATTGTTGATAGTTGTGGATCGTACCCTCGCATCCAAACAAACCGAATCGTGGGATTAGGGGGATAAAGTCATACTCTTTGATTGGACGAAACGGTACATTACCTGTTCGATAAATTTGACCGCAAATGTGGTCACTTGTCTAGTACGCACACCCATTCTCTTCAAGTGCCCATGTACGCATGAACAATGAAATGGGGCTGAGAGTACGTTGTGCTAAGTTAGACTGCGCATTTTCCGACGCTTGTGGTGCTGGTTCGAGTAGTGAACTACACGGCTGTGAGAGAACTAGACTGTTTGTATTAAAGATGACTAGAGACTGCATGATTTTGAACGCCGCAGCCTCCGAGATACCGCCGGATCAGGAGAAAAACATTTTGTTAGCGAAGTTCGTCAACACTGTAGCTAGACTCTGCCGACCATTTAATTGCATAACTTCACTGCATTTACTTTCGTGGCTTGGACATGTGCCTTGTATGCCCGATTAGCCGTTGCTCTGCAGTACACTTATTGCATGCTATTGTACTGCTGCTTTGCTGCTCTGTGAGCCTAAGAATGTCTGACTGCTTAGTCACGCGTCCAACCAACCGAAGAAATCGGTAGACAGAGAGTATATCTACAGGATAGATTAACGCTATGTATTGGTAAACGAAATATGCCAATTTTGGAGGTCCAGAGCCCCCACTCTTCCGCGTCTAATTTTCAGCCAGCGTGAGTGAATTCCGCTCCATGGATTTACCATATTGACGGAATAGTTCGACTCCTTTGACGCGGACCTGTATTTGCTGGCCAATTAATTTGCACTCGATTCCCAAATTCAGCGGAAATGTCAAAGGTCCAACAACGCCCGTGCTGATGAACTTTGCATGTAGTAGGCAGCGTAGGTGCTCCGCTTATGTCTATATTACTTCCCTTTGGAATTGAGTATGCCAGTGTACCGTAGGAACTCGAATTTGTTCATAGGTTTTCGCTTTGGGATCAACTTGTAGCCATTGTGGTCGTCACCGATTTCGGGTCGGCTTACATTGTGTATCAGCTGATGCTTGCAGGTTCTGTTGTGATCCACGTGAACGCTCAGCTTCCTCCTCCAAATCAAACGTGTCTAGCAGGATACCCCACGGTAAGGATTGTGAGTCCGAGGAACTTTGAGTCTTGGCGTGATTCCCCCTGACTCATTTCTCATTTCCTACTATTAGCTCGTAAATGATTTGGCCCTTTCTGCGGATCACTCTTCCTGTTGATCATCTCCTCGGACTTCGGAAGTATGGGGCGAACACTATGCCTTAAATTACGAAATGACGGAGCCTGTCTGTCAGATTTTCCTCTACTGGACAACTACAATGCTTTTTTCTTCTGCTTGGTACGAGGTTCATGAAGAATGTCTGGATCTTTCATCCAAACAAAATTTCGGCGGGTTCTTTTTCCATTTGGGGCGTTTGGGTTTGGCGCATTCCGGTACATGCATAGGAAAGGCTGGATCGCGTCCTTTGCGACCGTGTTTTGTCCCGCTTTATAAAGAGCACATTTGAAGGTATCCACGAACCGTTCCGCCTGTCCGTTTGATTGCGGATGATAGGGTGATGAGAACATCTGCTGAATTCCTTTCTCTTTGCACCACTCGCGAAAGGAAGTTGAAGTGAATTGTGTACCGTTGTCTGTCACTATCATCGGGCAGGCTGAAATACTGGAACAGCTTATCCAGCTCGTTGATCGTGTACTGGGCAGCCGAATTTTCAATCGGAATCAAATCGGACCACTTGGAGAAAGTGTCCACCAAAACAAGATAGGATTAACCAACGATTGGTCCTGCAAAATCCAAGTGGATTCGCTGCCAGGGCTTTTCTGCTTTGGGCCAAGGTTGCCAGGGGCACTAGGAAATGACCTTCGCCGCCAATTTACAGAATTCACATTTTTGGCAGAATTGTTCGATTTCTAAATCCGTTTCGGGCCAGTAAACAAAACTGTGTGACAAGACTTTCATACGGTTGGTACTTGGGTGCCCCGTATGGAACTGGTGTAAGACTTGCCTATTCAATTACTTTGGCACCACCACCTGGTCTCCAAACATCAAACAACTGTCCACAACAGATAGTGAGACACGTCGGTTGAAGAAAGGACCCAAATCAGCAGGGATACCAGCTTTTGGCCAACCTATTTTCACGGAATGCATCACTTTGTCTAGGGTTCTGTCTCGGGAAGTCTCCGAGCGAATAGTATCAGCTGTCACTTCTGATATTATGGGTCAAAATTCGCTGGACTTCTCATTCAAACTTGATGGATGCGATCACACAATCATTGCCCTCCTTTGGGTGCGAATTGATGAGACCAAACAGGGCATCCGCTTGACCGATTTGTTACGCAGGCCTGTAATGTATACTGAAATCGTACATCAACAGTATAGTCGACCATCTTTATAATCCATTTGCGGTAAAAACGGGAATTCCTTTCTTTGGGCCGAATATCGACAGCAATGGCTTATGATCAGTCAGGTAGGTGAAATGCCTGCCATAGAGCACCTTGTGGAGTCGCTTCATGGCGAAAACGATTGCGAGTGCTTCGTTTTCGATCTGACTATAGTTCTGCTCAGCTGACGTTAGGGAAATAACGGTGCCGATATCGTAATTGGAAGCGTCCGAAGCAACGATGATTTCCAAGTTCGGATTGAAATGAGTCAATAGTAGATCAGAAGTGAGTGCTGTTTTAACTGCATCAAAGGACTGCTGGCATTCCCTCGTCCATTGCCAACCGTTTTCGTCAGCAACTGGTTCAGCGGACCTCCGGTTTGAAGTAGGATTGGTAGGAAAACACTGTAAGGACACACGAGACCGAGAAATGAGCGAAGCTTCGTGAAGTCCTTCGGAGGCTCCGTCTATTTGATAGCTTCGATATTGGCGAGATCTGGGCGCCGGCCATGTTAGTCTATGATAAACCCGAAGAATTAAACACTATCTAACATGAAGTCATATTTCTCAGGTCGTAATCGAAATCCAGCTTCTTCTAAACGTGAAAGCACTCTCTCCAGTGTTGCGGGTCTGCGCCTATAATCATGCATCATTCAGGTAGACCGCGGTATTGAGAATATCGTTCACCAGGTATCTATAATTTGCTAGAAAATGGCCAATGCGGTTTTCACCCCAAACGGCAGCCGGTTGTACCGGAGAAGCCCGAGGAGCGTAGTAACCGTTAATAATGTTCTGCATTCCTCGGTAACTGGAACTTGCAAGTAAGGTGTCAGCTAGGTCAAGTTTTGCAAAGCATTTGCCACCGTTAAGTTTGGAGAACAAAACTTCTGGTGCACGCAATGGGTACTGATGCGTGTCCAACACAGAATTCAGTCCTGTTGAGAAATCATCACATATATGGACTTCTCCGTTTGCACTCTTTACCACCAAAATCAGTATCGTCCATTCTGAATAGTGGACCCGTTTGATTATACTTTCGGATTGCAAACGATTTAGCTCGGCTTCCACTAGAGATTGAGTCGGCAACGGAAACGGACGTCTTGGTATGAAGACTGGTTTGGCATCTGATTTGTGG